CACGGTGGTCGATGAGAGAACGAAGGGTTGCTTGGCAACCCTCACACCCCTGTCGTTCCGTGCACCAGCGGCGGCAGCATCCCCCGTAGATTTTCGTCGTCTCAACTTCCAACGATGCTACGCGACGCGTATAGACCAATGAGTGGCGCGGGGTGGAGGGCAGAGTAGAGGGGGGTGAAGTAGAGTAGACTAGGAGAGAGAGGGGATGCGGAGAGGGGGAGGTAGGAGTCGCGGGGGCGATGTAGTTAGCTTCGAATGTAACCTGTTGAGCCGTATTGATCCCGACGTACCTAGTCGGCTGCTCCCGCCTTCTCCTTCGACGACATTGAGAGAGAAAGCGTTGCACGGATGTGACTCGAGCAGACTTCGCGAAAGGGGCAGTAACCTTGCATCGTGTAGCGGACTCTCTCTCTCTCTCTCTCTCTCTCTCTCTTTCTCTCTATCTATCTCTCTCTATCTATCTATCTCGATGGGTCGTAATTGCCGCGCGATCCTATCCCTCTTCCTTCCGCTTTTCTAAAATGCGATTTTCCCTCCCCAGGAGTAACGACGAGACACGGTGAATGATTTTTTGGATAAACCTTTCACCACGTTGAAGATGGGACGCTTACAATGGGAGGACGCTTTTAATTTTCGGATAGAAGTATCTCGTGATTTTCGTTGGGGGACACGAGATGTCTGATGGTTCTGACTTTGGTGGTAAGGGCTGTGATAGGTACTTGTATATTTCATTTCTAGGAGAAGCTTCGATTTTGCGTAAGCGTTAGTTGCGATTACATTTCCCTTGTTTTATCGCGGTAGTCGCAGTATTCGCAAGGTTTTGGTAACTAGTCTGGGGATATTTTTAATTGGTTAAAATTCTAGCTAAGTTTAATTCGTAATTTAGATCGTGTTATTGAAAGAGGATAGGGAAAAAGGTGAAACATATGCTATTCGTACTAACGCGTTAGAACATTTTCCCTCTTTTCTCTCTCTTTGAAAAAGTACTGTAAATATTTGATAACTAGGAGCTTTTGAATCGTTTAACCAAACATAGTTCGTTAACAATGAAAGAAAATGCGAATAATTCTCTTCGATCTTTTTACGTAACGGAAACTAAGTACAAATAAGCAAGTAAACCGCGCAACAAATAATCGCGTATCAACTATATCAATCTATATGATTAACGAGTAGCAAACGATCACTTAACGGTTGCATAAAACGTTTTAACAGCCTAACAATTAATTCGATCATCTTCAATTCTCCAGAGCAAGATTTTACAATGTTTCTTTATATCATTTTCTTCTGTCGTCTCCGTCTTTGACGCACAGTGCGGTTGTCTCTTGGAATATTTTTCACGTTAGATAATTGCGGCGCTTTTTATCGCTGCATCAAAGAGAAGAGATGACTTACCACACCACCGCCGGCGCTGTGAAGCACGAGACTCTTTCCAGGCGTCAAATTGGCCAGTTCGAACAGCAGTATGTAAGCAACAGTGTAGTTCATCGTGATTGCCGCTGCATCGAGGTAACTCATCCCGGCTGGTAGCGCGAAAACGGAGGTGGCCGGCACGGAGACGAGCTCTGCCCACGCCTTGTGATCAGGAAGTGCGACCACTCGATCGCCCACCTGAAAATAAGTAGTCAAATGTTTCCTGTACATTAACTTTATTACCATCTCTCTTTTTTTTCATCTTTAAAATTAGCACTGTCTTCGTACGCTTTTCTAAATCGATTTTATTGACCCTGCCGCAGTCCTTGAACATCTACGTCTCACTCTCGCTTTGCTTTCAATCCGAAGAAAGATTTTCAATTTTTTTTTTTTTGAAACTGTAGCATTGGCAGAAGAAATTAAACATGTATCAATAACGATTCTTTTATATTTTCCAAAAATCTATGACATTTTCTAACGATAGAAAAATACAATTCTGTTATAAATAACGTAAAAGATACAGCAGGCTTAATACGTATGTTTAATGCATATGCTTCCGACGACTGTTTGGTGTAATCTCATAATATTTTAAAAATCTCTCGTTTGTGACTATCATTTGTGACAAATTCGAAGTTAGAGTTAGATTTTATGTTAGGTTCAGGTTAGGTTATACATCGTATTCAGTTATACATTAACACGTATAAAACGAACGAAGGTTATAGATACTATAGATACTTTCACGCGATTTTCAATGATGTAACGTTCTTACAATGATTGGTACGAAGCCCAGAGCACATAACACATATAGATCATGTAACAATTCGGCGATTGAATTCGAAAACCAATTCCATTCGACCTGATAAAAATTTCAGATTCGAAAAATTGCGCCTTATCCCTGTTCCCCAGCAGAACGAAATAGGGATCTACTTCGTATCCCCGAATTTAAAAGGTATCGACTTCCAACTCCCTCTATTTATACCCTCCGTCGTATCCGCAGCCCAAAGCATATTTCCTAAATTTTCCAAATCTTTTTACGAACCTATCACGATCAAACAAGTATTACAAATTATTATGGTCGCGTCGCTTCTTCATCGATCTTCAAATATCTGTACACAGGGGCATAACGCTTGCCGCCATCGTTGCAGCAACAGCGTGATATAACGCATCCCGATAATTCCTTCAAACAGCGATTAACCATCTTCGAATGAGAACCCCTGCGGCAAGGCAGATTATCCCATAAAGAAGCGAGTAAATGAATAAAACAGAGAGAGGGAAGATCGCCACATATAAACCCAACAATGCCAAGAACTCGAGGAAGCGAGCCAGAGGGGAAGGAAAGGTCTGGGTTAGAGGGCGCTGCGTGCTCGAATATTCCATCTCGAAAAGCTTCCCACTTTCGCGTATATACTCTCTGTACAGGATGTTTCAAAAATAGGTGGCCAATCTTCGGTACTGTATTCTACTCTCCCTCAGGAAGGGAAAATGTTACATAAACATTAGTCTCTGGAAAATCTTCCTCTTCGAGATATAAATACTCCTTGTTTGTTTCGAAATTTTACGTGCGTATGCTGTTACGCATAACGACGGCTCGTGAAAATATCCAAACATTTACCATACGAAATTTCTATACATATACCGTAATTTATTACGCAAAACATTTTGCACGGTCAATTTCAAGATTAGAACATTAGAAAAGCGCTAACTAACGAAACTTTATTGGCGTTATTTGCTTTATTTATTCGTTTCTCGATAACAAACAACTTTACGCGTGTAATTTATTTCTCCAAAACTGTGCCGGTTTCGAAAGGTGGAAATTCGATTCCAGCCACGTATCAGAAACAACGAAACCGGAAATTTCTAAAGAAGCGGAGAAGTGATCAGTTTGACTCGTATTACGCGTTATTTATATTATTCCTATTGCAAGGTAATATTTCTGAAACATCCTGTATATGCCGTATAGGCTGGCCGGTCGTTTACACGCGCTGCTCGGATATTTGACCCTAAAGCCTTAAACCTGGTATCTTCTCCTCGGTTCTCCCCCTCGTGACCTCGAGCAGTTTCGCGAGTCGCGAAAATAGACCACCCCAAGATGCGAGAGACAGAGAGAAAGGAGGAAGAGTAGAGTTTGGAGAAAGAAGCGTTTTCCTCTGGCGTCTACCAGAGTACCCAGCTCGAAGAGTACCGTGGGACTCCACCCTTGCGGAAAGATTAGTGGGTGAAAAATTCAAGGACGACGCGATGGACTGAACGCGGAACGACTATTTCGAGAACGAATTTTCCTTCGGGCGGGCTACCGCTTTGCCGCCAGACGTTTTCTGTCTGAGAGTGAAACGATCGCTTTTTCTTGCTTCATAATGAGCACCGGACGCGTTTTTCGTTGAGAAACCTTTTTCCTTTGACGGCTTTTTTTTCTTGACTTTTTTCACCGACTCGAAGGAATGGTTGAGCTCGTAGAAAGAATTCCGTTTGCTTACGAGAACGAAAATATAAATTATGACTGACTGTAACTTTGCGTGTATTTATCATAAAGCGAGTAAAACTGGAATAAATACGTACACACGCATTTTCTTACGTTCCGAGTGACAATCGAACGGTTGAAAATCATATTGCTTTGAGTCAAGCTTTTGAGAATCTAGCTTCTCAAATCTGGAGTCTGGGAGTCGCGTATTTCAACTCGTCAAGGTATCGCCCTCTAATCTCACGGTCCATTAAATTACAATTCTATTGTCTGTACGTTTCTACAATTTAAAGGAGTGTAACGATTCGTGGGTAACGATAAACGCGGAATATCATTTTATGAGAAATATCAGTGAGCTAATTTATGGCGTTAGAATTCTCAATCCTTCGTGTGTATCTTAATCGACAGATCGTAAATGTCTATGCTGCTGTATATTTTTACGAACGTAATTACAGAAATGGAATATCGATAGAAATTTGTTCTGCCTGCTAAATATAACGAGCGTTCAAGTACTTTAAATATCGTATATATCGTTGCATGTTGTACATAGATTTTTGGAATCTTAAATTTCTCAAAAGTGCATCAACAGCCGCAGTCTATCAATCGAGTCACCACAATCTACTCCTAGTTATCTTTATCGGAAAAAATTTCTCTCCCTCCCGTTAAATACGACAATCAAAAACCGAAACGGTTGATATTTCACGGATAACCACCACGTGGCGTCCGGGGCAAAACCACCACGGGAGAAAGATGATTCGACAGTATAATAACGTTCCTAAGCGTGGCGTCGTCGCTTTTTCCTCAGTGGACACAATATTTTCCATGACACAACGTTGCGTTGGCTCGATATGTCGCTGGGAAATATTAGACGTCGTCTCTGTCCGGAGGCAACCATGGAAAAATCGATAGGAATCGAGCCAGCTCAAAGGAATAACTATCGAGACTAGAGTATATTACGTTGCAGGTGAAAAGAACGAAAGTACACGCCTCTTTTTTTCCCCTTAACACAAATTTGCATTTATTATCATATCAAGCGATTCTTCAGCCACCCTTTCATACATATTTTAGGGGATTGTTGATGCAGATTATACGCTGTTATGCCACGAATAAAAGAGCTACACACAGATAAATATATCGTTTTAACACTGACCTTACCAGACCTGGGTCACATGAACGGTTTCGACATTTAATTTAAAATTGTACATTTATTGTTATTTCTATTGTTCGTCTAACTTTATGTAAATCCTGCTGTTAACAAAAATTGAGAAATCGATTAATCAGATAATATAAGAATTTACATAAAGTTAGACGAACAACGATAATAACAAATGTGCAATTTTACATTAAATTTTCCAAACGGTCACTTGACCGGGTGTGATAAGGTTAGCATTAAATCGCTGATAAACATTTATCTATTAAAAAACTTTTGTTCAAAGCATGAAAGATGTTCCAAGGTTGGTGGTTGGAAGTACACGATGGGCATAAATCAAAGAAAAATGCAATCAGAAGTGCGTGAGAATTCGAAGGGGAGAGACTATGGAAAAATAAATAAATAAAATAAGATAAAATAATTCTTCGTGAAGATTTTTAGAAATTATTTCGATGAATCGTTTGAAATTCTTCGTTTGACGTTGATAAGCAAAGGTGATGATACTTCGTTGAAGATTTGAATTTGATGGTTCGCAGAATTTGAATAGAGCGCTGAGAGTTGAGAATAAGTTAAAGATAACTGCTTTTTAAAGACTCTTCGTCGATAAAACAACCGACAAAGCTGGATGTAAAGTTTTCTGGCTGGGATGTTCCTTGGTTCACTTACTTTAAAGTTCTCCACGCCCTCGCCAACTTGCTCGATGTCACCTGCGCACTCGGATCCCATAATGAAAGGAGTTTTTGGTGGGGAATCGATAGCGCCCTGTCTGGCCATCAGATCTTGGAAATTCAATCCACTGAAAAGACACAGAAATACATTTTATTAAAAAAAACCTGTTATTAATGTAAACACTCTATGTACGCATTAATACAGGTACAATGTTGAAGATAATTCAACGCATTAACAAACTAGTCAACTCAGTCTAAATGTCCTAATACTTATGGTTAGCACTGTACATTTCTTTTTACGACTCCGTAAAACAACCAATTCTGCAAACACGAGCCGCGAGTACGATCGATGATATGGATTAACCGTATGACGTAGGTATAAGTTTTTAGTACTTTCCGACAAACCGACGCTATAGTCAAAAAAAAAAAAAAGAAAAAAAAAGAAAAGAAACGAGGGCTAATTTGGTAAATCTATTTTTAGTGCAGCTCCTCATAGGTATCATTGTCTTATCGCGACAAGTATATTTAGTAGATATAGTTATATACCATAGTAAATTTATCCTCGATATTCCGAACGATTACGCCCGAAGAAGAGACGATAGTCCTGCATCGTCGCTAAAATTCTCTGCAATTGTCCTGCATTGCCGTTATATTCTGTGATAGCATCGGGACAAAAGAATAAAAGTACTGTACCACTTAGCAAAGCTTATCGCATTATGCAGTAACGGGTACCGTAGACACGCGTGCCTGTCCGCTTCTCACGTAATAACGTCGGAAAGGCGGCAATCGATGCAGATAAAATATTCGTGGGCAGTATTCGCGCCGCTTTTCCAGGAAGCAACCTGAACGAGCGGCGTCAGTACTATAGGAAGCACTGATAAAGCATGTACCGGCGTTGTTTCACGGTCCCCGGCGTGGTCGCCACGAGAGAGACACCGGTTGTGCGTTGCGTGCGACGCCAGGCGTCGGTCTAGGCGTCGTGGCGCCTCGACTTACCCTCCCCGTCTGTCAGTCGCCACGTAGGGTTAAACAGAAGCTCGAAGGTAACCGCACACGTGTATTTATACGAGGCGAAGCGGAGGCACAAGTCGCGTGGGACTGCACACGCATCTGAAATGTTCTATTTCAGCCCCTTTTAAAATCCCTTAAGCCGCGTTCATATTAGTCACGTTGTTCTTTATTCTGCGTGTACAGTGGCTACAAAAAGTATTCGTACGCGGCTACATTATTATTTTTTTTTTTTACGTTACCTCTACCTCTTTTTTACATCAACTTTATTACTTATTCTCAGTTCATGTTGAGCCGTATTAAGCAAATGGTGAAACTTCTCTACGGATCGTTTGAGACGATCTTTACATTTCTCCACGTCTTTTACGTGATTCTTTCAACAGAGTCCTCGCCGAGACTTCTTCCTCGTTAACTCTCCCCGTAACAATATCCGTCGAGAATGACGTTTGTTTCTAATAATTTCTGTTTCGAACGTTCATGCGATCGCGGCTTAATGACGCGCAACACTCACACAGACAGAGGCGGCGTAGTGTTACACCTCACGCGCGTGCATTCACGTGCGGCTCTGTCGCCTCCTCGGGACTCGTACTCGAGACTATCATTCCCCGGAACTCCGGAACTGGAAAAATTCTCTCTCCCTCCGAACAGTCTCTATTTTTATCCTTTACGAGCGTACGCGGCAAAAGAATTGGTATCGACTCGGTTGGCGTGACTGGATTCGAATATGAATGTTCCTCTCGTTTGTTACGAAACTGCGGCCATGTACATTTTAATAAAAGCGAAAGATTCCTTTGATTTCTCTTTGTCAAGATCTCCGATAACATTTGCTATTATATATATTAATTTCGTGTTAAAATATAGTTCAAGAGACTTAGGAGCGAGCGAAAAAAGCAATATTTCTCCCTAGCTTAGGTTAATATTTGACATAGCTGGTACTATCTCCAGGTAGACTGACCTCGCAGACGTAGCTGTCCTTGGCCTCGGAAAAAGCCAAAATTAGAAATGGCACTTAGTAACGCGGAGAAAGAGATTGGAGAATGTTCATACAGAAAGGGAAGTGATGGGAAGTGGTAGAGGTCTGCTGTACAGTTGTCTGGAACGGAAATGGGATAATGCAATTGTCCCTCCTATCAGCGGGGGATTACTCAGTTCTCTACAAATACACTCGGGGATACAGGAATTTTAAGCATGCGAACAGTACACTTGCGCATGGCTCGCCTTTCATAGCCTCGGCTGTTACTTATTGTTAGAGTTAATACTAATCTAATGCGGCGAAAATGATATCGAGAAAATCATCGAAACTTCCTGTCGAAACCATTATATGTCAAAAAATTCCAAAATATAGATTGATCGAGAAGAAAGAATTATAAAGTTTTATGTTAGTGTGATGTTGGGTCGATTTCCAAAATACGTAATTCCAAAGTAAGTAATTGTAGGAGAAAAATCGAGTGAAATTGCGCGGGAACATCGAATCCTCCGCTACCATTTTCTCGTCATCCATTCTCTATTTTCTAGGACGTCATTGGTCTGAAAACGAATTTTCAGCGAGTTCTCTGATTGCTAGATGTATGATAAAGCTTTATCGATGACCTGTGTGTGTCACATAATTTCCTGGGAATGACCAGCGCGATGAATCATTGTGCTTGAATCGAGAAATATCACGCAAGAGCGATAATAGACGAGAAAATTGTCATTGTTATCACAATAAAAAATATTTAAAACAACAGGCCAGGAAATTTCTGTCGAATAATCATATCGTTCAATGTTATTCTGCTAAAAAATTGTGTGTAAAAATTTACTTTTGTCAGATAATTATTCAGAATCGAACGAACTAAAGGTAACAATAGTTTAGTAACTGGTAGTCAGTAATTTTCCATTATTTCAGTTAAACGTAATAATTAAAATCAAATAATTACTCTCCAAATTATACTGTCGACACTAACGAATCGCACAGGTCGTCGATTACGATGTAGTATAATGTAATACATGTCCTTAAAATATCATATGTCGTATGTTATACATATATAGTACGTATGTATTATGCTCCTGCAATTTGCAGTGAGTCACGAATCTGTTGGTCGAATTATCAAGCGCAACATACAAGCAGATCTCGTACAACAATTCTATACGTAATTATATATACGATTATGTATACAAAAAATGGTCACTAAAACGTTTCTTTGTTTGTCTCGACAACGTCGAAATTACGTCGGAGTTTGCCTTCTATGTAAAAAAAGTAAAAGTACATTTTATGTTCTACTAGATTCACGACTAATTCTGACATGACCAGTCATCGGACATTTCAATTAAATTCTTGGAAGTTTCTTCAATAATGAAACATTCTTTCTGCTTGGAAGAATTCATTCTATCGATACACGTTATTTCCATGTCATTTGATAAAAGCCTCACGTCTATGATGAAAGCAGCATTCAAGATGAAAGCGGCCTGATCGCAACGAATCATGAAACGCAATAATTTCACCCGCTAAAGTTATCGACAGCAAGGAAATAGCATCGAGTTACGTTTCACTTTGTTGCGGATTTAATGGATTTCACCAGACCAACTTCATTTTCTCAATTTATGAATTGAACGAACTGTAACCGATAAAAAAAGTCATAAATTTCATATTTCATGCTTCGATTCTCATCCGATACGAAGGAATATTGGAAATAAAAGTATACATCCACGTCACAAGTGGCAGCACCGTTTCCGTTAACCAATGTGGATACTTCTATGTAAACAGAACGATACAAGTTAATCCTTCGGCGAACATATACACAGAAAGACATCATGGGTAAATATTCTATCGAGTAGAACAAACATGGCGGATCCACTAACGTCTCGTCGCAAAGAAACGAATATACGCGCTTGAACGAACAAAATCTTCCCTCTTATTTCTCCGTGTAACTTGACCCGTCAATATTACGAAGTTAAGAGGAAGGAACAAAGGAAATGGTACGAAAAAAAGATAATACGCACCGTTTGAAGTAATAGGAGAATCGCTACTACGAACAATTTTATTCTAACGAAGTGAACAAAAGCAAGATTTAGTTGAAGTCAATTATTAAGGAAAGACTTATACACGACGACTATGATGCGTGATCTTCTAATTATTTTTTTGAATATATATAGTTACATCTAATGATATAGTTTTTGATTCTGTACAATGAAAATGCTGCTTAATGCGTCATTATTACCGACAACCGGACAAATTGTACGTGATTCAAAGCCGATCGCGTGACACAAAACATTTTCATTCACTGAAAGGCGCTTAATCTTCCATTACATTCCATATGATTTATCGCTTGTTGTTCTCAATCGTTCGACGATTCAGATTTGAAATATGCTGATTCGATACATTGACTCACGAAGATATTTGATATAGAGAGCTTATCGTAGAAAGCTATCATGTATACGTATATTATCTGAGCTATACGATACATGTTAATATTTTATTAAACATTGTGACGGAACCATTATCATGATTATATTGGTAAAATTTGGAATCAATCCGAAAATGTACATAGAAGTTACAAGGCATACGCAGCAAACATGAACTTGATAAAAAATATTAATATAAAGCACGAATTGTTGTATGAAGTTGTCTTGAATATATACAATAAACAATTCCAGGAAACTTTACCGATATAATCATAATAATCGAGTCTCATTATGGTACTAATGAAATTTCAAAATATTTCGTACAATACACATAATATATTGACAAAAGGCTGCTGTGTATGTTCAAATATTTGCGCAAGTCGCAAATTATAATCATCATAATTCAAAATTAATTCGAACAATGCGTTTTATCGTTCACACGTGTGCGCACGTAACACGTTTATACGTTTTGACAAATATTCGTTTGTTTCAGCGCGGAAGTATTAATTACGCTAGAAAGCTGTACAGGCGTAGACAATTTTGTAGGAGTTATAAAATTTTGCAATCCAACGATTTCCTCCCTGCATTTCATAACGAGGAACAGTTATTTTCCTTCGCTTTTTGTATAATTGCCAGACAATTTCTGGAGCGTAACACGAATCGCATACCGGAATTCGACCGAAGATGGAATTCAGCGCTAAATCGAACGGGAATATCAAAATACCAAATATAGTTACTG